TGTGTATAGCGATCATTGTTCATAGAGAATCAATATTTTGCGATGACAACAAAACATAATGTCAAACGGCTTTTGGCTACCGGCATCTTGGCACTTCCACACTGAGCCTCTTGACGACACAAATTTTCATAAACAACCTTCCTCATCTCTTCAATATCCAGCCTCTCAACTCATAGAATTTCATAGATTCATAGCCAAGAAAATTAGCTTTCAAGAGGTGAATTTTCTGCTTGAAGAATTTTGTCCAAGCAAGAAGTAATTAAAGTCAACTTGGCTATATATATGCTGTAATGGAATGGGGACATATTTCCTGGTCGACAAACAACTGACGTCATTTTGAGACTAACATATGATTACTTTTATTTACAATAATTATCAAGTGGACATGTTTTTTTTGTGTACCTTCCTTGTTTAACGCAGTAAGTGAGAAATGAAGACATGAACTTGATTTAACATCCTACTTTTCTACAGTGTGAACGAGGGAAATTTTGCCCAGACAGTAGCGAGCGCTATGGCCAACTCTTATTTTGAGAGAGAGAGAGAGATGGGGTTTAACACCTACGACACAAACTAGGTCATTTCGGGACTAACATATGGGAGGAAACCGGAGGACACAGAGAAAACTGACAAGGCTGGACAGGCAACTCTACTCCTTGTCACGTATAACCAGTGAATCAAAACCATGCCAGTTGACTCAATGACAGAAATTATGATACGGCACGCATGCGCTAACCATTCGGCCATCCAGCCCCCCTCAAATCTTATTTAAAATTCCAACTGTCAAATGTTCTTTTATCTGGAAGCCAACATGTAAAACACTGATATCAAAGCCAGTAGATTTATAATAGTCATATCAATTCTCTTTACTTTAATAAAATAAATGATTCAAATAATTTTAAAATAAATGATTCAAATAATTTTAAAATAAATGATTCAAATAATTTTAAAATAATAGATTTTGGGAGAATTATATCTTACAATAATGAAATCCCAACAGATTATAGATTTTTTTTTCGAAACTTATAAAAACCTTTTTTATCTGAGATGCCAATGGAAAAATATTCCAAAACATTAAGACGTAACAAAACCATTACTTTTTTGCATGACAAATCAAAGACATCGAATATTATTGGAGTAAAAGGAAAGAAAATTGGCCAGGAATCCGAGAATGTCAATTGATTTATCAAATTTCTACGAGATAGCATAATGTTTAAATAAGTCGAATACATCGTGAATCATCATACCGGACGTGTAAACCGATCAATGGTTTTCATTCTCCATGAATAATTACCAATTTACGTACAATACAAAACCCGTCTCTTGCTTTTGATTACCAGCTACGATGATAGTTTACGGTTATTTTTACAGACTTGTTCCAATAAATAATGACCATATGATAGATGCCGTATATCATAAACTGGTTCCAGAAAGGAAGACATGGAAGTAAAATGGCGGTAAATTACAGACACCAGACTTGTACCTAATTCTAATTGATTTGTTCGATTTGACTTATGAACAGAGGTTCGTGGAATATGAAAGAATTTCTGACTCGTTAAAAAGAGAAAGTGGGGTTTAATGTCCACACAGTCCACTCGATACAAACTAGGTCATTTCGGGACTGCCATATTGTTCAATTTTATTTCAATAATTCGCTTGTACGTAGGGGTCTTTAGCAGTGGATGGAAACTGGAGAAAACCCACGAGGTTGGACACATACAAGCTGGTAAAGGAAGCCAAGCCACTTGACTCAATGACAGACCTTATGACCTAAGCCCATTTACTCGTCAAAACTTGGGTCAACTGACCATTTGCACACAGGCGGGTGCCAAAACTCATACATCACTTTCAGTCACTAGTAGAGTTAAGAGTTTAGGGACTCAGTTCTGTCCTTTTAATCCTAACTTGTCTGCAATAAGGGCCTGACAAGGACAGCTGTCTAGTCATTTTTTTTGTCCAAAAAATGAGAGCTGTCTAATCGTTTGGATGGAACAAAAAAAAAACGAGGTCCCATCACATACTGGAGGACTCGTGTACATGTATATGTGCATGTTAAAGTTCCCCTAGCAGTTGGAATTCGATATAAGAGTAAGCCGTCAAGCCGCTATCCAGGGAAAATTTCCCTCACAGAACACTGTACGGCAGAACAGTACCAACGGGGGCAGGGGGCTAATTTTAAACCAAAAGTTATTTTTTCCAATGCAGCTCAAATTTGAACATTTATGTCCTTGTATTGGCAATTACACCAACTTAAGAGCTCAGAAATCACTGAAGGGTTGGCTCGTTAAATTAGCGAAGAAAATGAAAGAGAATGTCGAGAAGACAATAGAATGATTTCGTTGATGACATTTGTTCCTGACTTATGAATATTCGATGAGATGAGGCTATCAATATGCTAATAAACCTGATGGCTTTCAATTCGACTGATTGGTGGTCAATGCTAAAATCATTTGAATATTCTACATGCTATATGTGTCTGTACACTGTACTCTCACTGCCAATTTGTCTTTAACTTCTTTCTACTGCTACGCATATAATCATATATATACATACTGTTGAAATAATGCGACAATTGGTTGAAATAATACTGATTAAAGTTTCTGAACATCATTTGATGCAGCTTTGGTGGGTGTGGCACCAGGATAGGGTAAGCTTACTCTTCCGGACACCTGTTACCACTGTTTGTCGTGTATTTTGTACACGGTGAACAGTCCATTTGCTGATTACACCATTTTGCCTATACCGTTTTTTTAGGACTTCGAATTTTGTCTAGTGGTTTGGATTGTTCGTACTTGGTTTTATTTTATTTGACCAATTTTGAATCCCTTGCAAACTACAATATTGTGAAAATTGAATCTGTAAAAGGAAATGTGTCTAAAAATGGCTCAACATTCTATTCAGTATTTAAAAAGATATGAATTAAAAATATGTCCAAGGCAGCACCAGCACCACCTACAATCAGTTGATGATCCTGTTTTTTTTTTAATCTGATTTAATCCAAAACAAGAGATTATCTTCCATTGATATTTGTTTTCTTAATCAAGAAAGAAAGAGAAATTAGATTTAACGTCCATTCTACACAAACTATGTCATTTCAAGACTAACATATTTTTTAATTTTATTTCAATAATTCGCTTGCACGTAGTGGTCTTTAGCAGTGGGAGGAAACCGAAGGACCTGGGCCCTTATTCACGAAAACTTAAACTAAGTTACAATTGAAATTTTAAGAAATACTGCAACTTCATTGGATATATGCAAATTGATTTTACTGGTCAGCCAATCGAATTGCAGTATTTCTTAAAATTTCGATTGTATCTTAGTTTAAGTTTTCGTGAATAAGGGCCCAGGAGAAAAAAAACCCACTAGGTTGGGACAGGCAACCCTACTCCTTGTCATGTACAAGCAAGGAATCAAAACCATTATGATGTTACGTGTATTCGGCCAACCAACCACCTGTTTTCTTAATGAAATGTTACAAAAGTGTACAAATTTTCTTAGCCATGCCCTAAAATTCAGATAAATGCTTATAACTTGTAACTGGAACCATGTTTTCGATCAAAGAGACAAGTTTGGAAATCAGTTCCAAGTTCTACATGCCTTAAATTTTAAACATTAAGTTTGTCTGTGTGAACTGTTCAACCTGCTTCAAATGGAGGAAGACTGTCTGGTAAGAAATCTGGGTAAGATTATCTATAGAAATCCATTCTCCATGATGTCCACCGGGTACAGACTAATCGTATTAGAGACCGGACCATTCCAACAATCGTTCCAGCGTCGGCAAACAGAGAAAACGTGTTTAAATATCCTCGAGTCACCTCACTCTACGTCTGATGTTGATTCTAGACAAAAGACACTGGTCTTGGGACAAGTGACGGCCATTTTACCATCCACGATAATCAAATCGCATAAAAATCTTAAAAGAATTATGAAAGATATGTGGTGAAGTCTGCTTTTCATCTTTCTGCGATTTTGTTATTAAGTTATATTTCAAATATAAATTTCTTCGTATATGAAATATTAAAATCTGTGAAAAACGCATTTATTGTCTGTGTCTTGTCATGATTATTTTATTTCGCTTTGTTTTTCACTGAAAGATGTCTTGATAATGTCTGTATATTCAAATCAAATCCGTCAATGTATTGAAGAAAAGGGGTTCACTTTTCTGCACCAATGGGAGAGAGAGAGAGAGAAACTAGGTGATTTTAGGACTAACATATGGTTTAATTTTATTTCAAAAATTCACTTGCGCGTAGGGGTCTTTAGCAGTGGGAGGAAACCGGAGGACCCGGAGAAAACCCACGAGGTTGGACAGACGACCCTACTCCTTGTCACTCTTTGTCGAAACCACGCCAGTTGACTCAATGACAGGTCTTATGATACATCGCGCACGTGCTAACCATTCGGCCATCCAACCCCCTGCACCAATGGGACTAATAAAGACGAGCAGACATTATGCAATAACAGTGTTTGAGCCTAAATTCCGACTGTTAAGGGTTCTCTTACGTGCACGTCAATGTGTTAACGGGACCTCCAGCAATGATAAATATACCAGTAGTCGTTTAAACAACATCTAACGATCACCATTTTGAACAATCATGTGACAGCAATAGCCATATGCAATGATCATGAAATGGATGTGTATGAAAATCGTTATAAGACAAAGTGTAGGGTAGCTTTAGAATGTATATCTAACTGTAGTGCATCAAAGTAGCGTTTCTTCTATCTGCGTTTTCTAGTGCAATTATCACGATTTGTCATCAAAATTTTCAATATTTCATCATAAATTACAGAACTTTTCCCTAATGATAGTCATCACTATTAGTGTAGGGTTGTTTTTGAATGTGAATCAACGTATCATTTGCTCTATCTGTGTTTTCTTGTGCAGTCATCCTGTTTTATCATAAATTACAAAACTTATTTCCAAATAGAACTCTGCTCTTGAATAGGACATAAACTTAGGATATAAGGGTATAAAGAAGAAATAAAAAAGTTTTTCGACTTACCGGAATTAGCTTGAATACAGATGGGTAATATCGCAACCAGCGTCAGCAACACATTAATAATACACATCATTTTACACACTTACAGCTGACACCTTACCTGAAAGGGGTAGGCAAATACGTAAAATATATCACAATAAGGAGCTCATAAAACCCCTTTATTAATACTCCTTGTTTGTTTCCTCTTACATCTGGGATAAAAACTTTGTTTTAGTATCACTATAGATGTTCGTAAATTCCCTGCAATACTGTGGTTTAATCCCTCATACACGTGGGGTATTATCCTTGTCTGGGATTTATCCTCCTTAGTACTATATCCCTTAAAATGTTCGTAAATTCCCTGCAATAATGTAGTTTAATCCCTTGTACACGTGGGGTATTATCATTGTCAGTACTATATCCCTAAAGATAAAACCCCTGTAATAATACTGTTTTATCCCTTGTACACGTGGGGTATTATCAGTACTATATCCCTTATGATAAAATCCCTGCAATAATACTGTTTTATCCCTTGTACACGTGGGGTATACTCCTTATTAGTACTATATCCCTTAATATGTATGTGTTCATCAATTGAATGTAATAATGTGGTTTAATGCCCTGTAAAATCCTTGTCACTTTTAAGATAAATTCCCTGCAATAAAATGGTTCAAACCCTCGTCCATATGGGATATAATCCTTGTTCATACAATATCACTTGGAATGTTCATAAATTCCCTTGTTCACACCTCAAAATGCATGGATATAATCCCATATCTCTCCCAGTAAATGTCCCTTAAATGTCATTAATCACATTTGTTCCCCAATGTGTATTTTTTTTTAGATTTTCCCTGTTTAATTGTAAACCATATAAATTATGTATCCCTGCAAATATCAAAATGTATCCCTGATAAAATAAATGTACATGTATTCCAATTTTTGTTTCCCTGGTAGATTCACTATACCACAATAGACTGGATTATAAATTCCTCACGATATGTTCAAAATATTGTTCAAATGTTGATAATTAAAACGAACCCATCACCACACTACTCTCCAGCGTTAATCCTCCACCAATAAATGATTAATCCAAGCACAGAGTAAGAATAATGTTAATCGGAAGACAGACGCCAAGGTGCAGAAGAGGCAGACATCTTTGTTAGTAGTTGTAGTAAATGTTAAAAAGTTTCAATGAAATAAAGTGACGATAAGATACAGTTAGTTATTCACGCAAAATGTTTGGAGATTTGTACGTTTTCTATTTCACAAATTTGTCCAGTTCATTTCTCCAGTTATGTTATGATTCAGTTCTGTGTCAAAGTATTATATTTCCACATTGGAAAATCCCTGATGTCTTCTGATAAAATTACCGAAACTGTAAAATAATTCAGTTGTTATTAAAACTGTGATTCACATTTTCAACCAGAAATAAGAATTAATTAAAAACTAGGATTTGAAATCAATATTTAGCTATTTTAATTTAGTCATTAAAGATAATGTTGTCTGAAACATCGAGCTCAGATCACATGAAAATAAAAAAAAGATTTTTTAACAGTGTTTTAAACTTATGATTATACCGTCCAGATCGTAATGAAAATGGTGCAAAAAAAAACAATTTTGTTTTTATTGTTACTTTATCAGTACAGTATTTCAAATTTGCTATCAAACCATCATACAGATCAAAATGAAAAGAGTGCAAACAACGCTTTTGTTTTATTGTTACAAACAAAATAACTAATAGAAAGTTCTTCAACCTCATCAAATCAAGAAAACAACGCTAATTTATCTCAGCAGGTTAACGATCTTGATAAATTCATCAAATATTTGTAATCGGATGTTTATTTTCCTGTAGGATTTTACACGTCACCAGGGAAACCCTGGCAAACATGGCGATTCAAATCGTTTATGTGTGTTTTCTCTTTCGAGAATTTCATTAGAATTAAATAAACTTTTGACCACAGCATGGGCACTAAATGTTCGAACTGTGTATTTTTCTTTTGGATCTCTTCAAGAATCAGAACGCAGTCATATTTACTTCTGTGCTTTCTCAATCAAAGTCTATTAGATTTTGTTAAGACAACCCTAAACAAATAACAAATATGGGGTGATATTTAAAATAGCCACTGCAAAGTGGAGTAATATAGCTAAAAGTTTAATCTTTGGTTTTTATTTCAAGAACCTTAAATCATGGTAGGAATCTTCAAAGATGTTTTTCTACTTTTTTAAAAAAAAATTAATTTACAAATTTGAGACAGAAAGTTTTAAAAAATAATGGCCGATTTTGTACATTTTAAATTCAACTGTTATCTCATTCAAACTGGTTAGAAATTTGACACTATTCATTGGATGATGTGTCTTGTCCGTCTGCTCTTGTTACTAGCAGACGACAAACAAAAAGATTTAAAGTTAACTTCAAAAGGAGTTGCACAAGAATTGGGAAAGAATAGTGATTGTTTGCCGAGCAATTGTTTGTCTTGTCAAAGTAAGGATTACTTGTGTCGATGTCCAAGGTCTTACAGATTAGACATCTGTTTGGATTTTCAACCCAAACATTGAGTAATCATTTAGTCCGACATTCTAAATCATAAATGACATTCACACAAACCAAACCGGTTCCCTCATCTATTTCAACATAAACATAGGTTTTTAGTTCAATAAATTATATACTTTCATTTATAAAAATCTGAAACTTTTAAACAAATGAAATTGTATTGGACAGCGTATAATTTCCGTTTTATAGTCCAGCATATTTAAGCCTTAAATTACATGTATATGACTTTGATTCATAAAAAATCCTGAACTTTTCCAGATCTAAAAATTGAGGAAATTTTTACATTTACTAATTTCTTTTCTTCATTTTAATTCCCTTCATTTAATAAGATAAGCAGAATTTTACAGTAAATAACTCATATTGCAGAATTCTACAGTAAATAACTCATTTTGTGTCTAAAGGATTAGATTTAATTCATATTGCTTTAAAAATCCCTTCATCGGAAGCTAGGAATTATTATATATTGTTGGATATTTCTTTTTTTTCGTATTTCTAATTTGTTTGCAGAAGATCTACAAAGATATAACGCGAAAGACTGAATTAGAATTTTTAAAGAAATGGTAAAAAAAAATGAAATCTTTTATGAAACTGACTTATCTTTATATATCTAGCTCAAATTTGTTTTATATCAACACACCGAAAAACCTGAAAACTTGATTTCAAGATATTATTTTTGAATCAGATAATTTTATCATTAAAAGTCTTTACAAAATATAGTATTTACTTGTAATTAGAAAGTACTGAATAACAGCTAAGTTATCCTGTCAACACACAGAAACACCTGAACAAAGGTGATTTTTTGATATTCGTTTATTGGGTAATTTTCGTCATTAAAAGTCTTTAAAAAATAAGTGAGTTGTTAGTACTAGTAAGTGGTGAATAAAAGCCAAATATAGAAATATAGCAAGGTAGTATAAACATAAGACTGTATTTATCTATACGCTCTCTACGTATACATGTTTATAAACGTGACATACGACTAGAGTTATGTCAACATGGTCTCATTAAAAGCACCCAACACCTGTGAAAAATAGCAAAATCAAACGTCATTTGAAAATCACCTGTTGTCTTACCCACTTCATGTGTGATTTATCCAAAAATTATTCTAGATCAAAAACAGCTAATAATCCACATTTTTTTTTATTCCTTTTTTTTTTTTTCGAAATGAAATAATAAATTCACTAAAATGTAACACGGTTTTGAATATATCCTCAACTCAGTTCACATAGATCACTGAATTCAAACATTTAGTGTGAACATAAATCACATTAGAACAGCTAAAGGCCTTTGGTCAACTGTTCAAATGACCATAATTCATTCCTCCATGAAATATCTGACCCCTTTTCTCCAGTTATATATACACCTAGCCCTAATTAGGCTTGACCCCTACTGTAGACACCTGTGTTATATATATCCTTATAAAGTCAATAAGGGGTCACAAAACGTTCTTTATTCCTTCTGAATCCCTCCTCTAAATCCTTAATAACCTCATACATCCAAAACTTGGTTTCAACTCATCTGTTGATGATGGTTTGTACGTTTTTCGATAGGTAAAAATTCTTAAAAGGTCTGAGTGTTACTAAGTGAACTGTGTTGAGTCCTGTATAACCACCGTACACAGTGGAGTCCTATCTGTACATTATGAGGTACATGTGACTATTCAGGCATTATACACTCACACGAACAGCTGGCCAATCACCGACAAGCTCACAAAACTGACTTACAGTTTACCTTAAGGCTATTGTATCATGACAATAGAATAGGAATAGCTATAGTAGGACTTGATAGTATTATAGTAAATCTAGATTTCTATGATTCAGTGACCACCACATCTCTGGATGAGATCTCTACGGACATCAATTAAAACAGATTTTAATACCCATCTCGCTAACTAACAATATTCCCCGTAATAAAAGGTACTGAAGCAATTCTATTGAAGAGCCGAGGACCCGATGTTGTGATAGCCATTAATGCACACATTGATTTTCACTATGAAAAGATTCTCTCATGTGGAGAATTTTCATTCATTTTCATTCATTTTGATTATAAAACTATTTATTAGGATAACGGGAACCCAACCATGTAAAAATTCCGATTAACAATATGTTTTCATTCCTCAATACAACCCGATGTGTCCAACAAATTTCTTTAGTTCTACATCCCTAACAGTTGGAATAAAATATTAATAAACATATTTTTTTTCCTTCGATTTATTCAAATAGAATTTCATCTTTATTCACAACAAAAACAATTCATTTAAATAATATTGACTTTTCATTTCATGGTTTATATGAAAAGAATATTTAAGTACGGATTAAGTTTTCATTTTTAAAATAAAATTAAATATTTCTGTTCTTTTGAAGTAGGATTAAATAGATTTGTTCTCTACTTGCATATTGTTCTATAATTGCACCTATTTCTATAATTTCACCTTTTTCTATAATCACATATTTGTTCTATAATATCATATTTCAAAATATTGATGAATACTTGTAAACTTCAATAATAGGATTTTTTTTATGTTATTATTTTTATATTTTGTGAATGTGTCTGGTTGTTTGGAGAGTGCAAAAAAAGAAAGACTTAAAACGAATGTCACAAAATATGACTTAAAACGTTATGTCCAAAAAAAAAGCGACTTAGAATGTATGTCAAAAATAAAGAAGACTTAAACATATGTCAAAAAAAAAAAAAAGTAAAACATTTGAGTATGTCAAAAATAAAGACTTAAAACATATGTCAAAAGAAAAAAATTAAAACATTTGAGTACCCAGTATGCCAAAAAAAAAGACTTCAAACTTTAAAACATATAAAAAAAAAAGAGTATGGAAAGAGTTCAATGATGTCTCATCAACACAAAACATTTTGAAACTAACATGTGGTTATTTTTATTATGGTCAAGTGTACAATGATAGGGAGGCGAATTTGGCTGGACAGAGTATTTCCAACGTCTCTTCACTTAAATTTCAACTTTCAAGGGTTCTTTTACATAGGGTGTTAAACCCCATTTCATTTTTTTGTCCCTTCCGAGCATTTAGACACATTTTACTTGTCAGTTTATTGTCATTACCATTTTAATTCTTAAAAATGATTCCCCTTCAATAAACTTATAATATCTAATTAAAAATTCACAATATTTTCTTAACACCAAATAGATGATTAATTAAGAGATTAAATTCAAAATTCACAATATTTTCTTAACACCAAATTGATCATTAATTAAGAGATTAAATTCAAGCAGTATTTATGAAAGATCTGTTTATATTATATATAATCTTTCTGTTTGTTTACATAGGTTGACTCTAATGGACAATTTGAAGCAATAAAATGCTACAACTTCTCATTCACACAACTAATGATTTGTATTGTATGATGCCCAGTTGATGCTAAAATAAACATCTGCTAGCCAGAGAGAGAGAGTTTAACGTCCACTCGACATAGGTCATTTCGGGACTAACATATGGTTCAATTTCATTTAAATAATTTGCTTGCAAGTAGGGGTCTTTAGCAGTAGGAAGAAACCAGAGGACCCAGAGGTTGGACAGGTGAGCCTGCCTACTCCTTGTCACGTACAACCGGGGAATCGAAACCACACCAGTTGACTCAATGATAGACCTTATGATACAATTATCGCTAGCCTGGGAGGGAGAGAGAGAGAAAGAGAGAGAGATCACAATACTTCAATTTTTATAGTTTAGCATTACCCCAGTTGAAAGAAGAAAGAATTTAAACAATTAACCAATCTCTCTCCTATATTTCGTTTAGAGGATTAAAAATCAAAATTTCAGTACATTTGAGAATGCATGCATTTTCACAGCACACAGCATAACACCTATGCCTGTCTCACAAGAAACTTTGGCTTAGTATCGATTTATAACCCCATGTATTAAGAATACTAAAGGCTGGGGGATGCATACCCCACCATGTCCAACACCGGTTACTATATATAGATAATCAGCACAATTTGGGACTTTGATTTCCAAAATTGCTGTTAATTGTCAGGAATACGGTATTTTTCCGTGGGGGTGGATGCGGGGGTGGGGATACAAGTCAATAGTTGATTCTGCGGAAGGCAAAACTTTGTCTTATAATTCACATCAACATATAAGGATGAATGCAAAACTATTGACACATTCATTTGGCCTTATTTAATCCTTTTTCTTATTCAATGAACTGAAAGCTATAAAAAGCTAAAAATAAATTAAATAGGCTATAAATGGGGATGGTGTCATTGAACTAATGACACAGTGACTGAACATAGAAATAAAAATAGGAGGTAAAAGTTTATTTTTCGATTATAACGATATAGATAGGTAAATTGAAGACCTGTGACCATTTATAGGTAATAAGGTGTAATAAATCTAATTACAGGGCCATAGAAACCCTATAAAGTGTTAATTATACCTTTATGACTCCCTATAATACCTGTATAAAGTTAATAAAATTACACAATTTGTGAAAGTATTAAATGAACACTTATCTCAACACCTTATGTTGATAACCGTATCAAATTACCTACTTCAATACTAATCAGCCAATTACTATCAGGTGAAAACTGTTTTAATTTCATTTATAGGGGTTTTTATTGTGCTGCAGAAAAGTAGGATGCCATGATCTCTTACTTGTGACAATTTTTTGTAATACAATAGTTTAAAGTATTAAAGTCTGGCTATAATTTTATGCTGTGCAGGTCTCTTGTGCTGCTAGAGGCAGATGTAGAAAACGATTTTTTCCCCACTCTTCGTAGAAATGAAATGAAATGAACTCATGTTTAACGTCCTACTCTTCTGCACAGACTTGGCTAATGAAGATGGGCATATGCCATACAGTGTGCTATGAGGTGAAACTATTTAAGGGTTCTTTACGAGCAAGCCAATGTGTATGCAGGAACTAAGTTTATTGTCTCATCCGTACAAGTAGACTGTTCCTTGCCAGGCCCTCCGTCCTTCACAAATGACAAGTGGAAATCACTCCCAACAATACTTAGGAACTTTCTCGGCCAACTCCCGAAGCAAACTCTACATCTACCTTTCCGAAGGAAGCACGGGACTTCTAAAATCGGCTTGTACGTTTGTCTGTCTGTCTGTTATATTTTTTTGGACACAATAACTCAACTTCTAAGTGACCTAGAATGTTTAAACTGGGTATATGTGTTTATTAAATGAATGCCAAGTTGTTGCAAAAAACAACAACATTAAACTGACTAGAAAAATATAACTCAAATATAAACTCTGGGGCCTGTTTCACGAAATCTTAACTAAAGATAAAATCAAAATTTTAGCAAATACTTCAATTTTGATTGGCTAAGCACTTAAAATAATCTAATATTATCCAATCAAATTACTAAAATTTGAATTTTATCTTAGTTAAAATTTTGTGAAACAGGCCCCTGATTGGTAATATTAACAAGAGAACAGAAGGTATGTGTGTGGTTCGGTAGATGGTGTTCAGTTTTGGTCCAGATAAAATATTAAGTTTAATGTTAATGAAGTAAGCATTTCTGTAGGAGATTTGGATAATTAAAACAGGTGAGCTAAATGAAAAAACGGGGCCATGGTGGCTCACTGTGTAGGATACTGGCTCACTAACCATGAGGTCATGGGCAGGGGTGCACAACAGGGTGGTGCAACAGTCCCCCATGAGCGTAGTCCAGATTTCTTTTTTTGGGGGAGGGGAAATGGGCCAGTTTTCCAGAGTCTCTTACACATTGAATCAAACACACTTACTAACTACTTTTTGACCTAACTGAGGGTAATAATTGATTTTTTGATGCCCCCCTGGGAAAATATGTTTGTGCACCCTTGGTCATGGGTTGGATTTTGGTCTTGGTACTGAAACTTCCTTCTGATTTTCCAGTCTGGTTTCTGCTTGTCAAGAGAATTTAAGGTCTCTAATATGACACTGGCTCAATAACAAGTAGATCCTAGGGGGTCGATACAGGTTTTAGTCGTGAAACTTCCTTTGGATTTTCTGTCCGGTTTCCGCTTGTCAAGAGAACAGAAGGTCTGTGTGTAGTATATCACATGTTACTAATCCTAATGATTATTATACAAGATTATCTGTTAATCAATATCTGTATTATTGATTTCTAATATCTTATCTATAACCATGTCAATAACCACTCAGCTATATCATGTTTACCTGGACTTAGTAATAAATCTGATTAGATTTCTAGTTAATATAATTAAACCTCTCCTAAATAAACTAATATTACTGTTTTGTTTCTAAAGAGGGAGAGAATTGTTCAGAAGCAATAAAACAGTTAATAACACTGGTACAAAATTTCTGAGGCTATAGAGGAAGGTGGGGGGGGGGCGAAAGTTCAATAAACAGAAAATAAAATGGGGTTTAACGTCCTACTTTTTTGCACCAACCACTCAGGCAACCAAATTAATGAAGACAGACATTAACATGCAGTGTACCATGATATCAATTTTGCCTAGATAGTGGTATTCCCACCTAACGGTACTCATAGTGGTTGAAATCCAACTGCCAACTGCCAAGGGATCCCTTACAGGCATGCCAACGAGTACATAATGTCAAAAGAGGCTAAAAATATCATTTTTTATGCTTTGCTTAATTTTTCTTTAAAATCTGAACTTGTAAGTTTCATGCCATATCAATAAAATTAATACTTTTA